ACATATACTTTATACTTTTAAGTGCTTAAAACGCATAACGCCAATTAGAGATGCGGTCTCCAAAAAGGATACGCTCTATTTCAATTGATAGAATCAGATTTTTGTAGTAATCGATAGTCGAACCTTATGGTCAATTATGATGCAATCAATGCCGTCAGTTCCATCTCAAACAATAGCATTTATTCAATATTGTTATACAATAATAGTTTAAATTAGAATAAATGATTAAAGTATTTATATTCGTTTGAGGGGATATATGAGGTGACCGACTTCACTATTTCACAAGTTCAGTTTATGGATTTTGAAATTCCTGATGTTGATTAAAACAAAACTGGATTTACTTAATCTGTAATACAATTACCGTCAAAGCTTTTCTAACGCTCGGGAACTATTAAAGTTCTCATAAATATATATATAGACTTTAAAAAATTTTGTTAGCGTTCAACAACTGCTTCTAGAGTTATATTTTCCCTCTTCGCATCGCCACTTATCTAATCGATAGATGTAATGAATCAATATAATTTATGCTCAGTTTCTGGAGGTTTATATATTAGACCCACGTCTACTACGACCAAATGTCATTCACCGAACTTTTTCGAATATTACTATAAGTTCAATTGGAGCGTTACGGGCTTTAACAATAAGAAGGAGTTTGTCATTAGTTAAAGTGTGGAACCCCTTTATTCTCTATTTGTTGTGTTGCCCCATAAATTTTTGCACTAAAATTTTGACTTTTCAAAGATAAGATGGTTTAAATAAGCTTCTTACTGTGTTTGATAAGATATGGATGGCATGATTTGATTCTTCAGATTAAAAGTGCTATAATTCAGTAGATTATTGTGCTAATAAATTGCAAAAATAATAAACACAAAAATATTTAGATTTTGCGTGATAAGAACTACTAAATCCACATCATTGAGTCAATATTTCATTAAGAAATTTGTTTTATGGAATTTGCGTGTTTTTGGTGTTAACTGAGGTTGCAAAACAAACACTGTGAGAAAAACCAGCTGACGATTCAAATTAAATGGCTTATTATATGCGGTTTTATTAAATGGAATATTGTATGAGTGGATTTATATTAAAAGTAAACATTGCCAAAGCTATTAATAAAACAATATTAATAAAATGTTTATCACGTGTTGTTTTTATTTAATAAGACTTTTTGCAATCACTTAAAAACTGAACTGAGATAAATTTCACATTTAATTAAAAAGTTATAATAAGATCTTTATAAAATAAGTATATAAGTATGAATGTAGGTAAATGTTAAGTTCGCGAAGTAGTAAATATGTATATTATTTTTAAATAATATCATCCACTTTCATATATAATTAGAATGTGTTTTTTATAACGTAGTTGCAACTTTCGTGAACTTGACGCTAAATGTTCCAATGTTTTTAATAAAACAATGTTTTTAATGTTAATCCAAAATTGTTTTTCCCTAAATATACGGTAACACAATGGACCAATAGGCCTAAGTGGAACCACTGGGGATCGCCGGTATAAGCTAACCTAACCTAATCCAACCTTTTTCCGATTATAAGTTCTATTATTGGTTTCAGTATACTCGCTTAACAGTTACTTTCTTTAAGAATCAATGGGACTTTGTTTTTATTATAATTATAGCATAATTATTATTATTATAATTTATTAAGTAATGTATAAAGAGGTTTTTCGAACAGTAGTGAACTACAACAACAAAAATACATTTTATATTATTTTAAATAATTGAATTTTTGGCTGATCATACAGCTGTTTCGAGTATTGTCATATACCCATCATCAGTGGTCTTGGAAAACAATTTTTTTTTAAATAAAGGTGCCTCTTTTTCTTTAGATCCCTATGTCCTAGTACATACTTATGCAGTTTTTGATTGATAAATCTCGCGTAACTTTTTCAATCGAGATTCACTTTTAGTGCAATTTTCATCTTTTATTGGTAAATCTAGAGCGAAATGTATAACACTCGAGATTAATTTATAACACTCTAGATATTTTTTTGGAGTAGCAAGATTTGAACAGCTGTTTTATATGACGTGAAATAAAGTATGATTTGATTTGATATACATATGTATTTAATAAAAATATAAACATTTACTAAGACTGTGTTCGGATGGGCAAAAAAATTTCACAGAGCAAGGATATTGAATTGGTAAAAGAAAAAAAAATTATTATAAAACGCATGTACGGTATCGAAGTTAGATGGGTATTTCATGTAACATAGGAATTTAAGACTAGGAAAGATAGGCCCGTATTGTCATTCATTAAAGAAATCGGACTTGGAGAAACACTCTAATCCAACTAAGGGGCACAAAAGATCTTTTAGGTCGCAGTGTACTACTCTTTTTTCATTATAATATTAATAATCGAATTTAGAAACATATTCAAAAACACTGCTGAATATATTTTAAATAATAATAATATATATGATGTTAACAAAGCAAAATAAATTTTATTTTAATAATTAAAAAATTTATTTTTTTATAAAATAATTCTCTCAAGCTCATGCTATAGATATCACTGATTATAAAACAAAAACTATTAAAATATTGAATGTATATAAATGTGAATATATTTTCCATGAAATGTAAATTAATATAAACAAATTATTTGATTAAATAATTTAAGAATTTTATAGATAGAAAAATTGATAAGCAAAATTTAGATTAAAAGATCAAGTGCAGATCAATATGAAACATTTTCCATTTCTTATTGGATGGACTTTGTTATTTATTAATTTTTTATTTCATTTTGACACTGAAAATTAATTTAATTTAATTAATGAACTTTGATACATTGATATAGAATTTAATTTTTGGTCAGTTTCTGATGAACTTCAGACATATTAACTTCATTTCTATCCGTTCAAATATCATAAAATTTGAGTACATTCGTAAGGAATCCACTTATCAATTCACTAAATCATTTACCTATAAATATTTATTTTTGAAAAGCCATGCTTACTTTCAAACTTTCCAGATACATTATTATTATTCAAGAAATATTGGTATTAAATAATCTATGAAATGTATGCCCCATGCAATACACATTTTTGCATTTATATAAATGTAAGGGGTTCTCTTCTTGGCAATAGTAGTCAAATATCACCCATTTAACTTAATTCATGCCCTTACTTTCTGGATTAAATGAACCTAGATCACTAGGTATTAAGTCTATCTACTCTCATCTCTCTCCCCTGATTACTGGAATGAAGTTTTCACATTGTTTTGGAAATCTTCTCCATTCTTTCCTAAAAGGTGGTTTTAGTGGGTTCAAGTCTCATACTGTGGCTATCGATGCTTTCCACCTTTTGATTTTATAAAACCCAGATGAAGATAATAGTTTCAACTATATCAGTTACAGTATGAACTGTTTCAATATGAACTAGATGTAGATAAGGTTTCATGAAGATGAAGTTTCCAAGAACAGCCTAGTCTACGTCCTGTAGCTTGTATGATCCATTATTCCTATTCTATTACTAATATGTGCCCAAACTGCAGCTCTACCCTTCATGACGTCGCCCAGCTGTTCACTTGTCATTCTACGCACGCAAACCTTGGTCCAAGTGATATTTGGACTCACCCTCTTAAAGTGGCTAGGTTTTTTTCTTTGGACCTGGTTTAATTGCAGTCCCACACATCCTTTATCGTCCCATTCTCCTATTATCCCCCGCTTACTCTTACCTCAAAAAATACCCATCCACATCCCAACCCATGTATTCGCCTTGTAATCTTTACATGTTATCCGCTTTCAGATACCATTGGGTTACAACAACAACGTCCCGGAGGTAGCCGTCGCTTTCGACGACCGAGTGAACTTTCTCTTAAAGGGATTACACAAGTAGACACTTTCTGGTTACAACAACAGGAAAGAGTAGTTTATTTTCACATGTCACCAATACTATATATGGATCTGTAAAAATATTTCGGTGTGTTCTTTGAATTTTATTTAATAATTGAAATTTTTTTATTTAATAAAGAACTGGAAAACTTAGTGTAAATTTATAGTTTTATATAAACAGATTTTTTAAACAAATTTAGTAAAAATGTTCAAATTAAAGTATGTAAGGATCCAGTTAATTTTCTAATTAGAATATTTCTTTATTCCTACATATAAAAAGCTTCAGGGTGTTTGTAGAGTTACCAACTCTTTATTAAGTATGAAATTTAAATTTTGAGATGATATGTTAAAATGAAGGGATTTGGAGAAATCTGGATGTGCATGGTAAATATTAAGACAAAAAGTATAAATGTTTGAAAAAGCAACAATAAATTAATTAAACATTTAGACAACAAAGACATATTTAAGATAGCAAAAAAGTTACGGCAACTTATCTCTTCTAAACAAAATTAATTAAGACAATATTTTAATTAAGTTAAATTCACACAGCCACAGATATGAACTCACATATCTTCACTTGCCGCGCCCTGTCTGCAGATATGTAAACAATAACGTAAATTGGAATTTACAACTTTTGCTAATAATAATCAAGCACGCAATTTCACTGTCAACACTGAATGTCTATAAGAACTCTGAATGAGTTCTCATACTCAATAGAACGAAATTATGTGCATTTCAAGTGTGAGGCCATCAAAACCAATTTCATTGAGTGCTACCAAGCAAAATGGATGGATTAGCAAATATTGTTGTTATATGGCATGCAACAACCACTACGCCGAGTGCCTCATTAACGTAAATTTTCTTTTCTTATGAATTTCAGACTGATAATCGGAAATGGCCTCATTCAAGACATTTTGCAGCGAACACAAGTTCAAGTGTTCAGTGACAAACAACCACCGATAAATTTAGCAAATGAGTTGGCTGAAGGGAACGCCGAAAACCCGTACGCGGAGGTCAGCAAACAGTTTAGCAAAATCGATTTTTTTATTTTAACATATGTCTATATACGTATGTATATGCAAGCTGAAGCAGCTAAAAGAATAATTGAATTTATGAAAATTTAAATTTTAAAAACGAATGTGGCAAAATGCAATATACCTTTGCTTGATTATCTAACCGGTCTATTTCACCTGCACGTCTTATGTCGTCACCGACAAGAATTTTTGCTTATTTATAAGCAAGTTTTTTCTTTTTTTCTTAAGTAAACTTGTCGTTTATATTAAATATTCAAGCATGCAACACGTGCTTTTTATTGCTTATCATATAGTTTTGCTAAAAGTTATTTTTGTTTATATAAAATAATCCAATAAGATTCTAACCAGCGTTGCCCACACGCACACTGCGATAAACACAACACGTCCGAGAGTTGAAAACAGACTGAAGTTTGTTTGTTGACTCTGGGATTGTTTTGCAAATTTTGTTGCTCTCACCATTGGCCTTGTTCTGCTATGATGTGGACGTTACAAGTTTTCATACATATTAATTATAAATTTAAATAAATGCTGTATAAAAAAGAAAAATGGTATATATTGTTTACATTGTTTTATAAATAACAATTTAGAAATAATTTAATAGCATAAATAAATTTTTAAAGTAGAATGTATCAAAGTTGTTCCGATTTGTTTTTCTGGCAGTTCTCTTCCAACTGGAATTCTTATTATGGGTTTTGAATATATACATGTAGCTGAGAGCATCTCTTTCACACTTATTATTATGAACAATAGCTGTTTCACGCATAAAATTAACATGCTTAGCGTTAAGGTAACCAGCAATTGCACATTTAAAAGAGTTCCGTTTAAATTTTAAAAACAGGCAAATTTAGTCTATTAAATAAAAATCACGAAGAAGTCTAATATAGGCGTTTTCAGTTACTCGCAAATGTGGCAAAAAAATGCACACTGACCTATATTCACTAAGCGAGCATTGGCATCACTGTTGCAACCTGTCAAGTGTTATGTTTTGACAATTAGCAAAAATAGCATAATGCAAACAAATCACATTCTGTATAAAAATAAACAATTAACATAGATTGAAAATTATAATGAATACAGAATTAAAAGATATGGTAAAAATGTTGAAAATTTCAAAATAAAAAACTGAAATTTTTTCTTTTTTCCCAATTTTCAAATTTATGGAATTTTTGTTTACATATGTTTTTTGACCAATGAAAGCTCACAATAGTTCACTTATTGCGTTGGTAACACTTTTTTCCAAAGTGTGCCGAAGTGTGTGGCCAGTATACAACTACTGGCTTAGATAGAGAAATAAATTTTTGTTGTTTTGCATACATTTCGGCCAGTATATGCCAAGAACTTGCTGTGTTTTGCCAATTTTTTCTTTCGAAAAAATTTAAATATTTTCACCATAATTTTCCAATTCAGTAAATAAACTCATAAAGAATTGCATAAAAATTCAAATTTAAATAAAATTTTAAGCATAATATGAATTAAAAATGTTAAGATTAATGATTTTAATTATTATTAAAACGATAGTCATTATTCTTATACATTAGCAGTGACTTTTTCTTACGAAAAAACTTACGAAATAAAATCTGTTAAGAAACAACATTTCTCTTTAAATCTCTAGAGTAAGGTTTTACTCGCAAAAAATTTGTCTTAAGTTTTAGTGCTGCCACATTTAAAAATCAATCTATTGTAAATTTCTATATGTGAGCATTTCATTTACTAATAAATTGCCCTTCTAATATTTATTTTGTTTTCCTTTTTTAAATTAATTAATTTTTAGTGTATAATTTTTATGTATCTTATTGTACACAATTAAACAAAAAATATGTCAAAAATAAGTATTTAACATATTTTAAAATTGATACAAATTTGTTTTAACCAGATTTAATATTGTGTTTTTACAAACTCTGAAAGAAAAAATTATGGCTATTATATAAATTCAGATAGTATATAATTTATAAACATCAAATCATTTATTTTTAAAAGTTTAAAAATTATTAACAGTTAGTATTATTACCTTAATAAAAAAATTTTAAGTTCTTTTAATCTTTTTAGTATATTTTGAGATATACTGTCACGAATCGCTGCTATCAAAAACTAGAGTAAAAGAAATAAACCTAACAAAACACTACAATAAACAAAAATTGTGTCAATTAGTAGATATAATTCCAAATGTCAAATTAAGTGTTGTATATATTTGTTATTAAACGTTACATTTTAAAAAGACGCGATCAAACAGTTATATATTTCTAAACATGATCAGTATATCAAAATTTATATTGCATTAATTTGAATTTGTGAAATATTATAACTATTTTTATTTTATACATTAAATTTTTACGAAAATATATAAAATGTTATATTATATATAAATATAATATATAATATGTTTTTATATATAAAATATAAAAAATATAAAATATAATATAAAAAATAATATAAAATAGAATAGTTCACAAATGCTTGTGTATAGAACGTGCTCGTATATTCGCAATGAAAGAAATTCAAATTTTAGCGTAAGTTGGTATTTTTTCGCTTTCTTACACTTTTTAGTACTACCAAAATTTGAGTTTTACTCTTACCAGCACTGTTTTTTCATTGACAGGCGACAGGTGAAAAGCAGAAATAAAAATTGACTGAAGCGAATTCGTGTGTGGACGACATGACGGAATAATGGAAAATTAATTTAATAACTTAAATTATTTTCGAAGGCGTGAGATAACAAAATTAATATGTTTTTTATTTAAAAAAAATATTAACAAATAAAAGTTAATACACTAAATTTTATATATCGTTAAATGTATATAAAAAAGCGAACGAAAAAACGAGGTGGAGCGACTAAGGAAAATCGAAAAAAAAAATTTAATGCGAAAAATCGTAAAGTAAATTTTGGTAAAGTGCGTGAAAACAACAATAATATTGGCAATTTTTTTTTTGTTTTAACAATATAACTAATATTGTGAAAATTCAATAAAAGTGTTTAAAAGGTGTAAGAATAGAAATTGGAAAAGTAGAAAGAAAATATACACATGAAGCTAATTGATGATAACTAAAAATTAAATGCATTTTTTTTAATAATAAAAAAGTTTGTGCAAAAAGTGTTAGTAATTTAATTTAAAATTAAAAAAAGTTCTAATAGCATTGCGCTATTCTAAGCTAATAATAACGAAAAGTAAACAAATGTCTTCTTAAAAATAAATAATTAATTTGGTAACTGCATTGGCAAGTCTACCGACACCAAACAAATTCTTCTTTGCTTGGTGCTTCCAACGTTCCTTATTTAATCTCAACCGCTGCCGTCTTATACTCCTTCCCTGGTCCTGATTTACTGTAACTTTGTGGTATCAAAATGCCCAAATGCGATTTGAAGACTCGATACATTCCTGCGACATTTGCTTGGATTCTATTACTTGTGACAACATTTCTCTTCTTCTTCTATCCGTAAGTAATTCATGCTTCTTTATACAATATTTATTTTGTTTGTACTTGTTTTTTTAGCCAAGATATTATGCTATTAATGTAAATAATTTTCGAATTATATCGCATTATTAGCTGTTTATTTTATTTAATTACTTTTACTGTGCTTCTGTACACTAACCTTCATGTTTCATGGATTAGTGTCCTTGGAAACAAGCTGTGCAGGCCTGCTTGTCTCTGACATTTCTTTGAAGGTTTCGTTTAATGTGTGAATTAAAAAAAAAAATGTAAACATAATTTATAAAAAATTTTTATTTGTGCTCATAGATGATGCTTCCGTGTATGTAATTAAAATTGAAATGTGTTTTGTTTAATGAAAAAAAAGTAATATATCTACTTATTTCTGTATCATAACACATTAGTATCTTCACCTACCAGTATAATATTTAAAGGTTTCCCTGTGAAATTAATCTTATGTTAGGTTGGAAGGAATTCAAATGTAGAAAATTAAGTTCCTTTTGAATCTTTAATAAAACTGAAACGTATACATAGTTACCATAGAATCTAGGATTTAGTTCTAGAAGCTGTCGGATCTATAACTTGGAACCTAAAAGACTCTAAAAACTGGTTACTGTTGTTAATATTGTTGTTATCACTTCTAATGTCGGAATAAAAAAGCAAACACAAAAGATGACAAAACATTGCACAATAGGGCGAACGGAGTAAATTGGTGGGTCAATATGAGAAATCCTGCCAACTCACCGTGACGAAGTAATCAACAACATGTCATCAACATTGATGTGTGCATTTTAGTTGGAAATTTTCATTAAGATTGGAACTGCCTTTGAGATACACGTTGAAGATAGACATATATCTATAGGTAGACTATATCAACTATATATCACGATAGGCTTGACAAGTAACTATGTAGAGCATTTCTATATCTTATCCTTTCAAAAATCTGTTTTTATTCTGTTTGGGTTACAGTAACAACAGTGCAGAGTAATTTAAAGCTACCGTTGAGCCTCGTCTCCACATTAAGGAAACCATTCCAAGGAGTCTCATTAAGGAGTCTCCACATTTATTAGGTTCATTCCAATGTTGTGAATATACGTATTCTGTATTTTTGTTTTAATTACTATTAACATCAGATATTGCTAATGGTCTCTTACTCATAAACATTATTACTGCCGTTTCAGGGTTCAAATTTTTCCTATTTTCAAATTTTTGACTTCAAAATATTTAATATATCAAGTTTTCAGTTAAAGCTCTAAACGTATTCTATATATTGTACATCTTGTTAGAATTTGTCAAATATTTTTTAAAGAAACTCATACTCAAGAATAACTAATAATTTACATTGAAATTTAAATTCAAGATAAAAATTTCACGAAAATATGAATTGTGATTGCTATGAGACCCCTATGTAATATTGTGCAGCTAAATATATTTTATCGTAATGTATTATATATTTTAAAAACTACTTGTTGTTGTAGTGTGGGTTTTTGCTCTTACAATCACTTGTTTTCTAAATTTGACAACAATATAATCAATTTATGGTAGACCTCAAGCCGCCATTACAGTATATAATACTGTATTATGTTCGGTCTTGCTAACTAAATATAAAAGGTTAATTTTATTATAGTCTATCACTAATTTACTTATTTGCTATTGTAGCATTACTTTTACTTTTAATTGTTCTTTGAGTCATTCACTTCTAAAATCAAGACAAATCCATCTTATTTATGAATTACAAAAAAATTTTTAATTGCTTGTGTTAGACATTCATCTACACCTCATTAAAGTTAATATTATGTACAAGTATGGATATAAATACTTTTAAATAATCATATACAAATAAACAAACATTTTGGAATGACTCATTAACATATGTATATATTATACCCAAAGAAGGTTTTTTTTAAAATTTGCGGTATTGGACTGTATATAAGTAAATTTAAAGAAAAAAAACAGTATGAATAAAAAGTATACGTAA